TTTATGGTATTTCATGGAAATAACTATTTTTTAGGTAAAGGGACCAGTGATCGGTTCATTCGAAGAAATCGGACTTTTGGTTCAAAGTGGATCGAGTATTATTGGGTATTTATTTAATGTGTACTATCTTTCGGAAGGCTGACTGACTGAATTGAGTGAGTATTCAATAGATGGCGCTGCTTTGTTTACGGTACAAATGTGTCAACTAAGCCCAAATTGTTGTTGAGACTAAAGTATAAGTTAAATTAATTTTGTAAAATAAAAAATATAGGGAAATTTAATTACTTTGATTTTTTCGATTTTCGGTGTTAGCATAGCCAGTGGTATTCCGCATTGCTTTTAAGGAAAAAAAGAATTGATTCAGAGTGTTTTTCCGGATGTACAGAATGAGTTCTTGAATCATAACTGGCTCAGTCATCGGACAATTTTGGCAGCCAAAAATGTTGATTTTAACGAAATTAAATTCAAAATAAAACAGATGTTAACAGGCGATTTGATATATTTTAAATCAATCGGTACTGTTGTTGATAAAAATGGAAGTGTAAACTTTCTAACTGAATTTTTAAATACTCGAGACATACCTGGAATGCCACCACAATAATTGAAAATTAAAGATTAATTCTCCCATAATTCTTCTATGCAATTGAAATTCAACTAAATAACGCAACAATACGCGTTTGGTCATCAAAAGGATCACCGGAAATATTATTGAAGTAACCAATACCACGTTTTAAGGAAAAGTGGTCCTGTTGCCACATAATCCAATTAAATGGGGGTTTTAAGAAATCGACACAGTATCGCTTATTTATCGAAATTGAAAATCAATATCTGTTTGAAATGGTGTTATTAAACCGACTTGATTTTGCTTCTTTCGAAGATAAGCGAAACCGATATTCGAATCGACTTGCGCAAAAAAAAAAGGAAACCCAGCAATTCAATTTAATTTTTGTACGGGAATTAACATATTGCAGAGGTTATTAAAAATAAGATAGCATTTTTGTTGATAGAAGGATATCGAGAAATAATCCAGAAAATAAAGCGCAAAATTAAAATAGATGAGAGCACTCCGTCAGAGCTGCCAGAGTCGATGTAAGTGCAATTCATAGAACAATATTGTCTTAACAAAGTAGCCTTTTTAATAGTGCTGGATATCATTGAAGATCATTTAGATAGGCTGTCTATACCACATGTGGTTCCACCTGCAGCCACACTGCGGTTTTTGGTAGAAGGCTCCTATTAACAGTCTGTAGGACTCAAATATCTCCTGAGCACGACCTAAAGTCTCTGAGGTTTTAACAGAAATGTTAAAGGCTTTTGAACGTTTAAATTGGCCACGCTGGATAATTTTAGGAACGAACGACAATGGAAAACAGAGAGCTCGCGCCCATTTTCACATCATGTACCGTGTTCCAGGCATTGCTGGTTGTAAATTCCATTGTTCATGACTTACATTTTTATTAAATTTCCATTTGCAAAGAAATTTGCACACATTTCTTTCAACGAATAACTGATCGTTTTATTTCTGACATTTAAACCGATAAATAGGTTTCTGTAACACCTAAAATCGACATAAATTCTGTTTCGAAAATGAAACCGATATGCAAACCAATTTACGGAATGTGTAACCCCATTAACAGAATTTCGTCGGTTTCAATTCTGATTCGAACAACAATCTTTTTCTGCAGCCCCCCTGATAATGTCAGATTATACTACACCCTTCGGAAGGCTAAAGTTTCCAATTCGCTTAGATTTGGAAAATCTATATTTTTGCCATGGGCAATTATAAGTTGCCTGTTCACACCAAGGGAACCGTCGAATGTATTTGTGTCAGCTCAAGACAGGCTAACTAAAAATATTGCACACCGATTAGTGGTAAATTAAGTTGAAAATTTTAATCAGTAGTGCTCAACGTCCTTTCCACTCCAATCCCCATCCAGTGGATTTCTTTCACCAGCTTTGATGTTTCCGTCTTCGATCGCAAATAATAATTTCATTGAAATGACGGGTTACGGTAGCAGAAAATCTGTCGGAGGTCGCCATATTCTTTTATACTAGGCATCTATGAAAATCATGGCAGTCCCCATGACGAATCTTCTTCTACTGTTCCTGTTAAATAGTTTACTGCTATGTATAACCTTAAAACCTTAGCCACAGCAACCGGCATAATTATGCATTTGGTTCACATTATCGATGCTCCACTGTAAATTCATTAATTTCAACAGCTCATGGTAATATTCATTTTGAAATATGTATGTATGTACTTTTATTTATTTAACAAAAATAAGAACTTTTTTTCGGCTTACAGCCGTTGGTTGGCGGCTTTGGCTTTGGCTTTGGCTTTAGTTACGGATGTTTCGAAATAAATAAATCTTGACGTCTGCTCCCACGCTTTAACACACTGCATGCAAGTACAAATATGTGTGCATACATACAGACATGTACATACATATACTTTTTTTTAAATACATGTGTATTTTGCAGGAAAGCGAATAGTGTCTGCTTTGTTAGTGAGATGAAATGAAATAAATTGCATACAAAATCTGCAAGTGTTCTTTTCAGTGCAACAACAACAAGCGATACGCCATCAAAGATTTCAACGTATGTATGTATACACATACATCCATATTTCAATGCCTCAATATCTTATTGCTACTTCATGCCATTTGTTTTAGAATTCATTACAAAAAAAGAAATAAAGAATCTTTTATAGACTTCAGTGCAGTATTATTTGAGTTGTTGTTGTTTTTGCTATTTTTATTGATTTCCTTTTTTTTTTTTGGCTTTGCTTAGTAGGCAAATCGTGTTTTCAACTTTTGTCACGTGACGCTACAAATCATCGTCACATACAAAATACTTGCAAGAAACAAGAAACAAACAACAACAACAACAACAACAACAACAACAACAACAACAAAATGTAATGAAAATGAGCAACAAACAAGTCGGATCTAAAAGGAGCCGTTAAATAGCTGCGACACTTCCAGGCACACACACACACACACACACACCCATACTTCCCATCTAACCCAAAAAGCATATTCGCTCTGCTAAACTAAACTTGGTAGCTGGACAAAGGCGGCTGCTGCTGCTGCTGCTGTGAGTCGCAGTTCGGTGCTTGGCGTCGGGGGTGCTCGTAGACTAGTCCTAAACAAATGCCGCTCATTGTCAGTTTTACAAGCGTAATAACAAAGGCGGAAAAGCAACAGCAAACCGAATTTCTTAGCAGAAAACCAAAAAAAAACCTAAACAAATACAAAAAAATAAAAAAAATAAAAATAAAATATAATAGCAAAAATTCCCGAGAAGAAAGAATAAGTAAACTTCCACATCACGAATTTTCCTAAACGAACTGAAAATGCCTGAAGATGCCTAAAATTTAACTTCGCCGGCTGTCTATCTCAAAGCTTGTAAGTAGAAATCTCTTTGCCGCGCTCTATGCCATACATGTGAAGGGCAATCGCATGTGCATGTACGAGTATGTGTGTATGTAGATATTTATATGTACAAAAGTAGGACTAGACGTTACAAGCGTGAAATAACGCTGTTGGTTTTCCAAGAACTGCGCTAATTCAAGCTCTGTGGTGTAGTGTGACTTGCCGCTACTGTGGATGAGTGTTGGAATTAAAGATTGTGGTAAGCAAATGAGGCCAAGGGCCAGGTGTGCGCAAACTATTGATCGTCGCTTTTGTAACCAAAGAGATTAAAAATCGTCAGTGAATGGTATATGGCTAGAGGTGAACCGAGAAGAACTGTTTCAGAATAACCTGGATGAACTCTTGCTGGTTTGACTCGCACTTATTGCTTTGTCTACCGGATAAAGCTTCCATATAATCTGTTAAGCTGAATATCAAGATGGCACATTGAGATCTACCAATATGCACCGATTGTTAAAGGACCCTTTATAGCAATCCCATACGAGAAAGCATTTTTCAACTGCCCTATTAAATCATACACTTTTTTTTATGATAATTTCAGAGATAATCTTGGATCAAGGCGTCATATCATTACGTGAGGAAGATCAGAATGAGGCTGGCAATCTTAGAAAAGATACTAATCGAATGAAGCCACAACAGGACATATTCATAGTTGAAGAGGAAGGAGGATTCTTATTCGGCGTACGATCCAGACAAAACTCTGACTTTTAGCAAAAAGAAATTATGAATTAATACTGCAGACAAGATAGGCAACTGTATAAAAGAAGAAAAGAAGGTGTTGGGACTTCAAGGAACTTCCTCGGTAAAAAACCACGTTGGGAGTTGTTCAAAAAATAAAAGTCCCCACTATAGTGGGGGAGGGAAGAAAAAAATGTTTGCCGACCTGGTGATAGCCTAATTTCAGTATTACAGACGACGGTCTTGAATTTTAAAGCTATTTTCGTTTTTTATTAGCAAATCAGAAATGTGAAGGAACTTACGCTCATTGTCTTTCCAAGGCCTGAAGACCATGCGGAGCCTCAAAGGCGAGTTAAAAAGCAAATTATTTGTAGAAAAAATTCGGAAAGTATACAAGAAGATCCCTGCTTAGTCTACGAAGCGAGACAATTGCAAAAAATTTATAAGCCAAGACAGTCTCCGAAGATTTTCAACTTCTCGCTGGGCCTCTTTCCATGACTCCCGCTATTCGAAAAGCTCTCAAGCATTGGTTTAAGGTACCCGGGGGTAGCTGATTGCAAATAAAAGCCGAAACCACTGTTAGTAAACTAAAACCAATTTTCTAAGAAAATCCGGAAAAAATCATCGGTTTAAGGAGAGGTTGGCTAGCACATATTATCTCAGGATCTAATGCGCAACTGATTGGATCTTTAGAAAACCGCCTACAAGCATCTTTTGTTGAAAGTAAAGCTTGCAATATTTTCAACAGTTCCTTAACTACTGTAACTATAAAAATGTTTGAGCATCCCTGCCGTAAGATTTTTCCTTGCGAATTCATGTTAAAAGACGAAATCTTTTATATTATTTTTACACTTATTTTTATTTACATTTATTTTCCCTCCTACTTACCCGAAATGCCAAACTCGAACTGGTGAACGTCGGTCGATTGTCATTCAAATCCAACACCTCAACGCGCAACAAACGTATCGACTGCTTTGGTGGATTGCCACCGTCTGTTGCTGCTACTGCCAAACGATAAATACTACGATCCTCATGATCCAGCACGACTCGTGTGCGAATTACACCCGTTACCGCATCAATACTGAACAGGCCGTAACCGTCCGAATCACGACCTTTCAATATCGAATAGGTGATCGATGCATTCTGGCCGTTATCACGATCGACGGCACGAATGCGCACCACCTCAGTGCCGGGCGGTTGCTCTTCGCGTACGCTGACCACATCCTCTTGCGGATCAACAATGTCCGGCGCATTGTCGTTGACATCGGTGATGTGTACTTTGACGGGTACGCGCGCACTACGGTAGGGGGTGCCTTGATCGCGTGCCTCAGCAACAAGATCGTAAACGGCGCGCAATTCGCGATCGAGCGGTTCGCGGGTGGTGATCTCGCCTGCAACGAAGAAGAAGAAGAAGAAGAAAAACAAACAAAAAATGATTAAATAAAGCGAAGGAAATTAATTTTAATTTATTCAAAAATAAGTGTGGTGAGTATTTTCGTACTTATATACTTATATACTTATATATATATATATACATATATATACGTATATATGTATATATATAGTAGTATAAATGTACAAGCGGAATATGCAGTAGTTTTCGCGGCACATTTCAAATTAGCACAAATATTGTGGTAAAAATTTTTCAGCAAAAGTAAAAACCTTAAGTGGCTCTCGGTCACGATGGCCGAGAAAGTAGTATAACCTTTTCAATTAGACACCGTCAAAAGCGCCGGTGGCCGTCACATGATTTATTTCGCATTCGCTGATTCTGTGTCAGTTCGCGTAAATCATGCTTTTCCTGCATCTCCGAGCCGAGCTGCCTGATGACGCGCATATATTTTCTATCTCTTTTCCTTTTTTTCTTTTTTGCCGGAAAATCAAATTGAATCAAATTCCAAATATTTAGTTCGTTCGTTCTAGACAGAATATTCAATCAAGCGGAAACTGGACAAATTAAGCGTGCAACCGCCTAAACGATGTAGAAGCCAACGAGCAAGCGCACCAACGGACGGGCGGGCAACTGGCAGCACCAGCTGGTTGCTGAACGATCGCTCGCTGGTTCGTTGGTCTGTCGTGCGGTCGGTTGGTCGGTCGGTCTGTGGCACGAGTGGTCATTGAGTAGAAAAGTTGAAAATGTTTTGACTTTCAGATTTAGGTCGCCACTCCCCGGCAGAGTAATGATTAATGGGTAACAAAACGCTAGCGACAACAATGCTGAACAAAAACAACACCGACAGCAATTGGAATACATATATAAAGAATCTATGCTATGTGAGTTTATTATAAATAATAACATAATTCTAATAATACATATATATGCAAATATGTACATACATACATGCATACATACATATATGCAGTAAAATTTGTTTTTATTTGCTGATAATATTTATATGTAGCAAAAGTATTTGCGCTTGCCGATAAAAGAAGGAAGAAATTAAGACAAACAGCTGTCGGATGTACGAGTATGTTCATGCGTATGACGTAAAGCACCCGACGGCCGGCAACTACGACCGCCGCCAGCTCCAGACATTGTGTGAGTGTGGGAAAGTACCGCAATTGTTGATTCAATCGGCAGCATTTAACTCTAGTCGTGGTCTATTTAGTCTCTCTTAACGGTATGTGTGTTTGTGTCTCTCAGAATTTTTGGGTAAATTTTAGAATTATTAAAAATAGCGTAAACTAAATAAGCTAAATGAAAGAGGAAGAAAGTGGTAATTAGCAAAAATACCATGCACTGAGGTAATTAATCTTAGAATTTTTGGTAATTATGAGAACTTTTGTAGAACTTTTGATTTTGTTTTAATTTTTATACATACGCATATGTTTGGTTATGGTAACCGTTTGAGCTTAGGATCACATTTTCAGCCTAAGAGTTCACTAGAGTCTGTTTACCAAAGGCTAGACTGCGAGTGAGCGCTTTTTCGCTGCAAGTGGTTCGATGAAATATGTTCAGTAAGAAGTTCGTTCGGCTTTTATCTGAGAGAACATCTAATGAGTAAGCTTTAGGAGTTTTCGGGAGAAAGGTTTTATATAAGATTTAATGGCGAATACCCCAGCCGATGGAACTATGAGCTCTATGACATATACGGCGGCATGGACATAGTTCAGCGAAGCTAAAAACAGCGACTACGATGGCTAGGTCATGTGGTCCGGAAGAATAGAAATACTCCAGCTTGGAAAGCTTTCGATATCCAAATGAAAAAGAACGTAGCAATGCCTCGGATGAGAGAGTACTTCGAACATTCTGGGAATGGGAATGTTTGATACCTTCGTTATGAAGTAGCAGCTGCAGTGCTGGCTGATGTGGTAAGAACTGAACGAGTAACTCCTTACGAAATGTACTACAACGACATATGTGGAACGCAGTTTTTGTGTTTGTATTGCTGTGAGAGAGGGTCTTAATCGATGAGTACCGTCATTTACCCCAGTGGATAAACAACTCTTAACAATTCGTACAAAAACAAAGCCGAATGCTCATAAAAAGCATTCTTGCTTAGATGGACAAAGAAGCATAGACGTCGGAAAACTCAAAGACGAAAGATGGCCAAGTTGGCTAAACGAAAGGTCGTTAAGTTGGCTGATACTGCTTGACTCCCCGGGCCCGAAAGGCTCTGACAACTCTCTTGCAGCAGCAAAAATACGCATCCGCCTGTATGCAGCAAATTACCTTCGATAGCTAGAAGCTGTAATTACAACAGACAGCCGAACGACTTTCTACTCAACTTGCTCTCCTACTCTCCGAGAGGTCATTAGCAACTGTCGAAAATTATGTCAAAAGGTATGGAGACGTACAGATGATTTCAATACCGGAGCAAAGTCTTGCAGAACTCAGAGAGGAGATCTAGCAACCGAAAAATTCTCCAGACTGCCGAATTGTTGTGGCGGGGCGGTGCAGAACTGATAAGGTCAATGCATCAGCTTCTTTGTAAATTATGGTCAGACGAAAGCATGCTCGACTATTGGAACCTAAATATTCTCTGCCGAATCTGCAAAAAGGGGGATCCCACATTCTACGCCAATTACCGTAGGTTATTGTGTGAAAGGCTTCAGCCCACCGTCAAAAACTGATGGGACCTTACCAGTATGGCTTGAGACCAGGTAAATCCAAATCTTGGGAAAGCCCGGTGAAAAAAGGGTCGAGATCCACCAGCTCTAAATTTGGAATCCCCGAAAAACTTATACAGATATGAAAACTGGCGGTAAGCAACACTAAAAGCTTCGTCATGATCGGGAAGGACCTTTCCGAGAAGTTCCTTACCAAACGAGGTTTCAGACAGGGTGTCTCGTTGTCGTGTGATATCTTCAACTTGATGCTGTAGAAAACAATAAGAGCTGCAGAGCTGAATAGAGAAGGTATAATCTTCTACAAGAGTGTACAGCTGCTGGTGTACGCGAATTATATATACCTTACTGACATTAACAACTTCATCGTGAAATCCGTTTTCTTTTAAATTGAGAAGGCAGTGAAAGATAGCAAGATGAAATACGAGTATCTCCTGTCAACAAACAAATAGTCAGCGCATTCGCGACTATGTTCCCACTCCTGACTTTGAAAAATTTGTAGATAACTTCGTCTATTTTGGAACCAGCATTGACGCCAATAACAATCTCAGCCTATAAATGCAATGCAGTTCTTTAGACTGATCACCAATTTTAGGAAAGTTCAGGAGGAATTGGTTCTGGCAATAAAAATATCGTTTCAGATCCAGGCATTTATTTTTTGTATTTTTTACAACTTATTACAAATAAAGCAACATCAGAGAAAAAAACATTTTCTCCATTCTTACATATGTATATACATATTAGTATATGCATGTGGGTATGTTTGATATGGAGCATACCTAGGAGTCAAGTCAAATCCTTTATTACTTGTCAACTACTTAATTTTCATTTTGATTTACGATCACGATATGCATACATACGTGTACATACACTGTGCATATACTCGTATGTATGTATGTATGTATTCACATATATAAAATATAATTATATATTCTCTAAATATTTTCAATTATCTCCATAAAGTAGCAGAGCATGCTTAACAGCCGCACGGTATATATTGTATGTATGTATAGCGTATACATTGATGTGTATACAGGTGCAACACGCCGGCATGTATGCGGCGTATGTATATATAATATAATATATGTATGTATGTAACAACATTACGTGTTAATATTCTGCCACTACGCAATTCTTCTCGCAGCCACTATTAGGCGAACGAAGCGTCGTAAGCAATGCGGAAAATGCCGTTTATTGGCACATCAACCGACTTTCAATCACGTGATTACATACATACCAACACACTTGATACTTGGGCAGGTCGAACACTTCCAAACGGCCCAGCTGCTGAAACTAGTTCAGTTGCGTTTGTTGCAATGGCACTTGCAGGGGCAGTGGTAGTAGCAGCTGTGCTTCGGATGTTGGTACTTGCAGCAATAGAGAGGCTCCTACTATATATGTATGTATGTATGTATGTATGTTTATATGCTTGTAAAGTTATGTATGTATCATTTTTTGTGTAAAGAGTTGCCTGGTTTCCCGGATTAACAGCACCACGCGATTTGCATATTTAATTTAAATAACAGCTAAGCTACTGATCTATGCCACAGCGCACCACACAAACACACACACACATACATACACAAACATACTCGTCCACGCAAACATCGCACATGGCATTGTATGTAAACTGTGCTCTGGAAGACACAACATGCTGCTGCCGCACACACAGTGGCCACAAAATGTCAACCAGTTGACATGCCATTGACGGATGAGCTGACAGCGTTAAAACTGTTGTTGCGCGCACACTAATGGCCAGCTCTGGCAGCTCTGTGAACAAACCAAGCAGACAACTGGCAAGGCAGTTCAACAGCCGACCAACGAGACATTCATTCAACACCAAAGACGTTAGGGAAGATGTAATAGAGAGATTTTCCTGTTGAGTTTCTACACTTTGAGCGTAGTTTTTTGCATAGGGTAGATTAGGTTCGTTTATCTAGCGGTTGATTATAGAGACAAGCTGATTTGGACGAACAATTTCTGCTCTGCCATCTTTCTTGATTTCGGACTGCTTGGTTTAATCTTTATCCGGAGGTATGGAGCTTTTTATAAACTGCTTATGACGAGATCCAGGCGCTGTAGAGCTGGCTGTCTCCTAACGAGGATAGCAGACTTAAGATGAAAACATTAGCATGTAGTCCTTGAATGAGGGGTTGAGGGAACCGGCAAACACTTTGTAAGCCTCTCAACAATCATAATTTAAAGCTTGTTGCGAGAATAAGTAAAAGAGCTCCGCATTGGAATCTGGTTTACTGACCATTGAATCCTACTTAAAGTTGAGTTAAAATTAGCAGTTTCAAGACTTATGAGATCTTTTGGAGACATTCATTGATGAAAATATCTTTTCACTCCAATAAAGATACAGCTCTCGACTTTATTTAATGTTGGTGGTCTTCGGAAATCCCTATAAACTCTTAGTGGTGAGAATAGGGTTCGTACGAGAGAATATCTAGTCAATATATGCAGCAGAGTAAAGATTTTTGGGAAAAAACTTTCTGACTAATGTTCCTAGGACGATGACAGAATATCAGCCTAGATTGCTTGAAAACATGATTCGAAGTTTATTTCGAGAACTAATGGATTGGATCTGCTACCGTTGTGTTAATATCAGTGTTGGAGGTTGAAAGTGGTCCCACTTACACAAAGATATAGCTCTAGCGTTTTTCACTGGGCTTGCTCATGAACTTTGAGTTCGAGCCATGGACGATCGTCTCACGGAAAGAAATGCCAATCCGTAACATATTTCTGACATAAAATTAATAGATCATCGTTCTGAGGCTTTTCAGAAAAGAAACTATGACCCCTCTTTCTGAATAACATCGAAACCTGCAACACAAAATGAAGGAGGACCGCGGTCGAAACTATTCCAGCAGCAATTGCATATGTATGGCCGTTCGGAGGAGGATTTGAAGTCACAGTTCCCTTCATTAGTCGGAGGCTATTAAGGCATGCTATTAAGACATACCAGACCGGATGGCAGGCTCGGTGGATATCACCTAAATGCCAATTTACTTTATTTACCAAGATGAAATTTGAAATTATTCATTTTCACCTCCGCCCGAATTCAGCTCCATCCTACTTATTACATGATAACAATGCCAAGTCAGCTTGCGTACCATCAGCAGCAGCAGCAGCAGCAGCAGCAACAGCAGTGGTGCTCCTATCGCCTATCGGTGAAATGTGTACATGTAGATTTGATTTGATTGCATGCACACCGCAGACCGATGGAGACGCGGCAATCGGATGACCAGCTGTTGTACATAGAGTAACCTCTGGCTTGGTATTTATTATCTACAATATCAGCAACAGTTTTTGCGCGGCAGCTAAGAATGAATGAACAGGTTTGCCAAATACATACATACATCGCAGCAGCAAGCCGAAACCACCAGATCTTCCCGACTCTACTCTACTCTATCTCAGGAGAAATTTTTTTCTAACGCTGCTACACACTCGCTTCGACATAGATACATGCCAATTTGACGGCTTGGGAGCCAAACTCGAAACTGTCTATTTTGAAAAGTAGAACAGTAATGCTTGGCCACGGGTCATGGCGCAGCGCAAGGCGGTTGTCGGTTCGTTTGCTGGTTTGCTGGTTGGCTGCTTGTGCACTGCGCTACTTTGCGAGCTCAGCTCGTGTAGAGTCTAAAGTCTTTTGGTGTTTGGCTTGTGGCATGGCCGTGAGGCTTTTGCGCTGCTGCACTGGCTTATACGCTGGCGAGTTGATGGAGATGTTAGAAATGCTAGTTGGTTGTGGCGGCAATTCGGATTTTTTTCTGTGAAGCCTTAGTGACATTAATTTATGTTAAAAGGAAATTCTTAGCTTTTACTGCGCCCAAGTCAAGTAAGACGACATATAGAGATGTGTGCGCGGAAAAACGATAAAAAGTGCGACGCACAAATATTTGTAAAAAGAGTTTTGTGTTTTAATCTCATTTACAAGAAGATTTAGTTAGAGTCTTGATGAATGTCAATTGGAGTTAGCGGACACGTTTGCGGCGTACATAGCTGGGTGTGAGAGGGTGCCACGGGGCTTATGAACTGCCATAAAAATGCCTGGAATATAGCTAAAACTTACTCGTTGGGTTTTCTTCAAGGCAATTGGGAAAGTCTGTTTTTCAATCCGTAGCACGAAAGGGGAAGCTGGGGACTATGCCTTGCCAGCTATCAGTAAGGGAATGCAAGTAAAAGTTGTAAATATAATTTAGGTTTAAGAGAAATAAATCGGAATAAAGTTTCAGGATATAAAAGTCAATCCCTTCAGCTTATTCCAGGACCCTTGCACCTTAAAGCTGAGGTGGGGTATGAAAGTTTACTTCGACCAGGTTCGATATGTAAATTATGACTTCCCTCTTTTAAAGGAAGTTCTTGGAGATACAATCAGAACTAATGTATATGAGCGTTCAGCACTAACTTAAGGAGTAGACCTGCTCCAATAGCCACTGTCTGTTAATTCACCTTCCTCTTTAAAAATGTTAGTGCTGAGTCATTGAATGTAGAATATTATAGGATACGGTACTATAAAGTAGGTCGGGTATGTTATGGGATTGACAACGATTTGTCTATGCTCGTCGAGAGACTGAGAGACAGGATTTACTTTAGTTTTTCTTTGTATGCTCTAACTCTCGGAACAGACATTTCAATTTATATTCGTATTGAATTTAAATCTCTCGGCGGTCGAACTTTATTTGGTTCGGCGAGCTATTTATAAAACTCAAGGTAAGACAATATTTTTGGATACATATTTAAAAATCATTTTTGGTACTCTAAGCCATTCTACACTTTACGAAATTAAAATCCATCCCTTTAAACCTTCACTTATTTTAATTCCAGCCAAATTTCACTTACCTGTAATTGAATTCACTTGAAAGCTCGAATTGGTCGGTATCAAGCTATACCGTATCTCCGCATTCTCACCCACATCCAAATCGGTGGCGCCCACCACACCGACCAATGCACCACGACGCATATTCTCTTCAATAACGAACTCATAGACGGCACTAAGGAAGCGCGGGTCATTGTCGTTGGCGTCCAACACCTCAATGACGACACGTGCACGTGCATGTGCAGCCGGTGTGCCATTATCGCTGGCCATAATGGTGAGCTCATAGCGATCGCGCGACTCGCGATCCAATGTGCCGCGCAAGTACAACCAACCGCTGTTGGGGAAAATACCGAATAGTTGTGCCAGCTCAGCGTCGGCGGCGGAAAGTGTTTGCTTGGTAGCGCCACCACTCGGGTGTAGCAGTGTTGGTGTAGATAGTTTGGATAATGTGCTGTTGACGCTGTGACCGTTGCTATAGCTGCTCACCAGGCGATAGGTGATGCGCGCATTGTTGCCGGTGTCGAGATCGATTGCTGTCACTTGCAGGATCTGTGTGGGAGAAAATAAAAGATGAAAGGGCATTAAAAAACATAGAAACTGTTTTTTATTTTATTGTTAATTAGTGATGCACAGCAAGCTCTAGTTGGGCTTAATTTTAATTTATTTCAAATGCTTCTGAACCAGTGACATTTTTCTAAGGGAGTAAAAAAAATGTATAGCCTAAATTTGTAGACACCTTTAGACAAAGAACTATATTAAAGATACTCAATAGAGTATCGAGCTTTGTTGTTAACTTAAAGAGGTTTTCAAAATCAACACAGAACGATCTCAATGCGGGCCTCTTGTGAGATCACTGTAGCTCCTTCCTATAATAAATTTTTTATACGGAGTTGACATGAGTGTGTAACCGAGAAATTATCCAAACTCAAGATTCAGTTGAATATACAAACACCGGCGTCGCGGGAAGCCGGGATGCTTGAAATTTACAGAGAAAGTTTCTCAGGAACCTTGGGAACGAGCATTGTAGTCAGTTGCAAACAAGATCTTTTACATTATACATCGAGCTTGCTTCTTAGCGAATATAACCTAGTCCATAATGGCACAACAGGCTTGTCTTCATATCGTCGTTCGACGCCTAGTTGGAGGATGTATCCTCTCAAGCCACGTTCTCTACACGACCTGCCTAAAGGAGTGTTGGTCTTTCTCTGCCATTCGTCTACTGATGGGTACTGTACTAATTACTTTAAAATCTACAATATTTTCATCGATTCATGGAGTATTCATCCATCGTAGTTATATCCCATACAGCTCACTATCCCGTCGTCAACGATCGACAATGATGTGAGAGCTACGACGCGAGTGCGCTGTATCTCTGTTAGATGTCAGCTGAAAATTCGTTTGGGACTCGTTTACCATTCGCTCTTTTTCCTTATGTAGAGAGAGTGATATTGATAAGCTCTCAGCATTTTGCTGGCTATGGAGATTAACACCTAAACAATTCTCTCCAATGAACCATATTTGTGGTTTTAAAGAGCTCAATTCTACGGTATGACTATGCTGACGACTTCATAACTTGAAAACCCGGAAACTAACTTAGTACTTTCTCTGAGCTCATAATTCCCTTGACTGAATAGTCAAGTTAACTTGCATTCTATTAAAAAAAAAGTGAGAAAAGAGTGGAGCAAACGGATGAATATTCTACTTGTCATCCTGATTATTTCAGTATAGATGGATAGGTGAACGACCTCTTTTTTCTAAAGTCTACATCCTATGGTCCGTAACGATATTACCATGAAAAGTCAGTATTATTAATCTGATCTCACATTCGGAAGGCTCGGCTGCATATCCCGGTACCACCAACATCCAAAAGTTATGGAAAATTAATTTAAAATAAAAATTAAGCTAAATTTTTTAATTGCGGTCGCCCCTCGGCAGGGAATGCGCACCCCTCCGAGTTTATTAAGGAAATGAAATAAAAAAGCTCCTCCTAAAAAACCATATAAAATAGGCAAAGTTACCAGGAAACGCATGATAAAACAGATTCTTATCAATAAAGAACTTTTAAATACGCGTTTTACAGCAAGAAAACCGCTCCTGAAGTTTTATCGATAGGCAAGCCACAGTTAAATCGCAAAAGGACTTCTTGTAAGGTAGATAAACCTGGCCAGTAAAAGACCACGTGAAAAGCATATCTTCAAATAGAGCGAATTCCTACATAGCGGAAGTTTCGGTAGGTCTGATAGCATGCGGCATGCAGAAAGACTTGGATATCCTTATAGTATTTCGAGCAGAAGCTGAAGAAATGATGAAGAGAAAGTTTGGAGACATTTTTCCCGCTAGTCATTCCACGATAGCTCCGTCGAAGAATGTGGCTTAATAATGTTCATTGAAAAAAATAAATGTTTCGATAGAAAGTCCTAGAGGTATACGTCATCAAAAGGAATCTTGTTTAAGTCAAACTGCCATCGAGCTAACCCATCTAACCTAAACCGATTGATTTTAATCATTACTGGAAGGCCAACGGATTCTCTACATACATCTACTATTCAATCCATACGGATTTAGCTCATCCTTATTTGATATCATTTATTTAAATTTTTTTCATTTTTTCCGAGCATTTTTTTTTTTGCATTTGGTGTCCTGATTGTTTGGGGTTGTTGCTGCTACTTTAAATCACAATTAACCCATTGACCGTAGCGTTGCGGCTCCCATGCTTTTTGCAAATGCTTGCTGTTGTTTGTTTTTACTCTTTGCCGATTTTATTGTTATTTCTATTCTTATTTTTATATTTTTTTGCTACACATAGCAGTTGTCGCTGGCATTTGTGTGTGGTAGCTAGCGCAGCCGAGACGTTGTTGTCGCTGTGCACGATAAAAATCGTGTCTTTAACTGCGCTATGTGATTTTCGTCGGTGAGATCTCATTGATTTGCGCTCGTGAGCGAGTGTGGCCCGCTTTTGTGAATTTTACTATATATATATATATATATATATATATATATATGCATGTATATACTTAAGTGTATACTTGTACGAGCATGTTGCAGCTGCGTGGTGCTCGGCTGTGTGTATCCATTGATGTGGCAATTTCTATCGGTGGCTTGTTTGTTTGGCGGCTGGTCACAGTGAAATTGCGAACTATTTGTACAATGTGTATTTGAGTGTGTGTTGTTGCTTTTTTTTTTTTTTTGATTTTTTTGGAAGCTCTGGTGGGTGTTTGATGTTGTTGCAACAATGTCGTCGTTTCATAGGCAACGTGCAATGACCAAAATTAGTAGCTGGCCAAAGAAAGTTGCTTGTCTGATTTCTAATAAGCCTAAGTATTTTGGTTATCAAAGTCATTTTTTTTTTATTTGTGTTTGAATTTTTTTATTTCAATCGCCGAATGAGGTTAACTTTCGCGGAACGCCTGGCGGTGGATTGGAGGTTAGCGTGGTTAGAGTATTTAAGGAAAATTAAAAAGGTTGAAAGTAATGCAAATAAGTCAGTTACACGCAAACACACACATACCCAAACACACACACTAAAGCACACTAAAAATGAGTGTAAAGCTATTTTTGAAATGTTTCTTAATTTTTTCTCTTGCGGCATTATTTGCATAAATGCAAATTGCCATTGCGCATGCGCATCTCCTTAGCCTTTGACTTGGCGTTTATATAAACGCATTTTCGTTTCAATTTCAACTTTCGAAATAAAAATTCCTTCATTTTGAAAGTTCACTTTTTCACTCTTCTATTCGTTATTTTCTTCCTTTTCTTTTTTCTTTTTTTTTTTTTGGTAGGGAGTGCTGTGACAATTTTTCGTTGGGAAGTTTTGTCAATTCATACCAAAAACAAAAAAAAAAAAAAAAAGAACTAATTGTCCGCTTGTCACACAAACACCCATAAATCACTCAAAGTCGATTTAAATTGCCTTTGATTGTCTTCACTGCCACTGAAAGAACGGAAATTTTCGTATTTTTCTTTTCTCTAAACTGAGTGCCACACATTTTGAAAGCATAAATATTCGAATGGGCTTAATTCGCAATTTCTTTTTGCTTGAATTAAATAAAGTTCGCCGAAGCATTGAAACTATGACCAATTCGGTCTAGGGTAATTTAGATGGCCGAGTAGCTGAAGCCTAGTTAGAAGTAATCAATCCATGAATTGAGGGTTTTAATAACCGATTTATGTCAATATGTACCGTTTTTATCAATCACTTTTTGCCATTTTTGAAACTAATGTCATTATATTTCCTTATAGAAACTCTTATCTTTACAGGACAATCAACTGGCGTTGTACTGGCGAAAAACAAGCCCCCTCGTGTTGGACAAAGCTGTGCGTTTCTGAGCAAATGCTTCCTTTAGATGTACCAACCACTGGCGGTACATGTCGAATTAAGAGTTTTGCTTTAGAGGAGCAGCTCATAGTGGATACATATATGACATTCCCACTAAACACAAAATTAAACTTTCCTGAACCTCAATCCTGGCTTGAGGACCATTTGCACCGAGACCAGTCCCCATGATCATGAGCGCTCTCATTTGACAATGCTGTAAGTGATCCGCTTATGATCATCAGTTACCATCCGTTTCAGAAGAGTTTCAGCGTTTAGCCCATGTGACAGCCATACATAGAGGTTCTTTATGTATACAGCGTATTTTAAGTGGTTCAAAACTGTTATTGTGTAATGTTTATATCTCGGGAAATCGACACGGCGCTTGCTTGATGGCAAAGTCGACGATTTCCATTATTTTAAAGACATTTTCAACAGTTGTCCTTCCACACCGTGGAATAACTTTTAGATCAAAATTACCGGAACAAAATTGACGAAACCAAATTTTATGCAGTGTCTGGATCATAAACACAACCCATATTTTTTGCTGTCTTAAGTCCATTTTTGGCAAGCCCTCAAACAATACTTATTCAAGTGATCAATTGACTTTTTATTACAAAATATCATGCTTCTGATGCTATTTAGCGTAGTGAAATCGCCTTTATTGGACTCGAGATATCGATCACTAAGGCCATATATTCAAACATTATGATAACAGGACAAGGATTTTCACCTACATCCCGATTAAAATCTTCCAATAACCAATACCTTAACCAATGAGCGCAAAATGACTAAACCAATTACTTGACAGTGCCCCTAATTTTTAGTAATTAAATTTATGTGGTTTACAATTTCTCGGGTAGCTATGATCTCATTGCCGCCACACAATCTCTCAATCAAGACATTCATGCTCTCAACTGAGCTGTATTTTAACATTTTAGAAATGCTCGAAATCGTAAAAAAAGAGAAATGGATGGAAATCAACTTTTTTTCGAGTCGAAACGACGAGTACCATAAACACTCTGGGAATGAAATCACAGACAGATTCCCTAACACAATCGATACCTTTCCATACTCTTCTGCTAAGGCTCAAAAATAGATTCTCAACTCCGTAGCGAACATTATTTGAGGATTTTCGCCGATAATGATACTGAACTGACTGTTATTAATAAGCCGATGGTATAAAACTTTTTATGTCACATACCTCATTCGATGAAAGACATCTGTTGCAATTAGCGTTTTGCTGTGATAACAAGAACATGCCTTTGAACCTTCAGAAGTGTAAAACCATGTGCTTTTCACGAAGACTTGTTCAACCTTCTCTTTATATAAATAAAAACTGTAATCTAGAACAAGTGTTTGACGGACCCTCCGCTCAACTTTGTCAAAAGATGATCAAAAGAATTCAAATACCCTTCTGCAACTAAAGCACTTTATATGACTTTAATGAGGCTAATATAAGAATATAGTTCACTGATATGGGACCGCAATTATCGAGTTCATTCCGATAAATTGGAGTCTGTTCAAAAAACAATTTAAATTTTTTGCATTGAGACATTTTAGGTGGAACTCTACGATAAATCTTCCTCCTCTCGCAAGTCGTAGAGAAATGTTAGGCGCATTGTTCGTAGTGAGACTTCTTAACGGTCCAATTTGTAGTACACGGGTCTTATCTGAGGTAAACTTTATTGTACCAACTCGTGTATCTAGGCAGTTTAGGTCTTTAGTATTAAAGCCATGTAAAACAAATTAGGAATTGAATTTACCTTTCCGCCTATTGTGTCACAATTTTAGTTTTCATTCCAGTACCTTGGATCTTTCAGTATAACTTTTTATCACCAAAAAATCTATTCTTGCTTCGCTCAACAATTTCAAAATAGATTTACAGACAGCTAAATACAAACCTTTTTGTGACTGAGGTAGCAGTGTGATCACATAAGTGCGGGTTCCTTTTCCTTATGGAGTCTTAAATTGATTTGTTGGCAGTGCAGTGCAGACCTTCGCAGGTAGATCGAGAGCGACATATAAAATCAGTTAAAATAAGTATGGATGTTAAGTGGTAACTGAAATGAGTTTCTTGTTCCTTGAACCTCCAGAAGATAAGCTGCTAACGCAAGAACTTATAGAAGACTAATTCAAGGAAAAAAATCTATTTTATTGTATGTAATTGATGCTTTCAAAAACACTCAAGCGATGCCCCACCTATGGTCTTCACTTTATTTCACCCATTGGAGGCGATGCAGTTTACACTAAACCGTCTCCGAATCGCTGATGGATTATCATCAGCAGCTTTTATTTCATGTCGGAAGCACACTCGGACTGGTCTGCGCGTGGTTTTCCCTAATGATTTTTCGGATGATTTCATGCGCTGCAAACCACTGGGCTTCTGTAGCCGCCTTTTATATTGTATATCCTCTAAATGCTCAGCATTTCATCAAGATATTACGGTCATAGTGTTACTATGATACCATCGTTGTGCAGAGAGGCATGTGTATATCTATTGGTCATAAGGCCATATTGGAGATCAAAATATTTGTTGAGATTGCCAAATAAAATTCGAAAAAACAAAAAACTCTCTGCAACGCACTGCCTAGAAAGGGCTGTAACAGTTTTTTTGGCCTAACGACAGCCATTAAAAGCGAGCGGAGTGTCCATTAGATGCAAGAAGTGCAGGGACGCAGGAATGCTGTCCTACTTAATTAGGACCACTAAACCTCTCGGAGGTTTGTTGTTCTGAAGGCTAAAGAAAGTTTCGAAACTGGTTATCAAGGTCACCTTAAATTTCGGTAAAAGCATTGAATGACAGCAGGTCATATACGAGTACAAGGCTTAGCTGCCAGCCAACATAGCCTAACCTTATCTTTGCCGATATAATAGGTAGGTTTTTCAATTTTCCTTATTATACTTAATCACACTTATATATATATTTTCTAAGTATATAAATATTGATTTAATTTTTTTTCTATTCAGGAATGGCATGCAGTTATGCGACTGTTACAGCGGCAGTTAAAGAATTATTTTATAGATTCACAAAACTAGTTCAACAAATGTGAAGATATTTACAAAAGAGAGGAAGACAGGTTTTCTCGACAGGATAAAAATGGCAAAAAAATGGAAAAAACGTTTTCCCGATAGGAAAAAATGGAAAGGAATTTGCAAAAACAAAATATTTATATACATGTACATATATAAACAAATACATACTTATATACGAGTATATATTTATTCCGCGAAATGTTTGCTTTGTGCCTTTTCAGCACAAGAAACTACTTGCATACGAGTATCTAGTATTCAAATGTACCCAGCAAAAAATATCCTCGAGCAACTTATAAATAAAAATTTATAATAAAATATGATCAATGGTCTAACAGAAACCTTTTCAGGTTAACATTTTTGAAAAAAGATACATTCTTAAAATAAATTTTAAACAAGCTTTGACCACCGAAACTCATTTCTCTGGAAGGTGGAAAGTAATGAGTGTTTCATAAAGCCAGTGGCTTTTTACTGTCTTTCAAATTTGGCTGAGTGCATGGAAAGATTTTTAAATTTATTTCTCTCTGCCTACCAGATAATAAAAAATGCATTCTATTCTAATTCAAGTAAATTCTCTTTGGGAGCGCCTCCTAAATAATCTGCTGGTATCTTAGAGTATACTACTACTTGTATATGCTCAAATGTGTACGTCCACGAGTATAACCGTCGACCGGTAGCCAAACTCGCGTGACTTTAGTTGGCGGTTAATCGAATTAATGCAAGTTTTTATATGTGGAAATTAGCATAGCTGTCAATGCGTGCCACTTATGCCTGCAACTAACAGTTGCACATAACACAAGCACAAGCGCTGAAAACGAAGAAGGTCCCATCATTCCATAGCATCAATGGAGTATTTGTGTTTTGTTTTTTTGCTTGCATTGTATGTACAAATGTGTGTGTATAGTGATTGCAGCACTTACCTGTGAATTAATCGGCAACGATTCCAACACCTTCACTGAGTATTCGTTGCGTTCGAACATCGGTGGATTATCGTTGACATCCTGCACTTCCACCAGTATGGTGAGGTTGGACGATAAGGGCGGCTCACCACCGTCCGTCGCCGTCACTATCAGCGCATGCCGCTGTGCCATTTCATAGTCGAGGTGTCGTGACAGTGTTAGGTGGCCCGAGCGTGCATCGATTGCGAAAAGATTTTGTTCGCCAGCCCCAGCAGCAGCACCAGCAGCAGTAGCAACAACAACACCGGTCATACGGTTCACGGCAGACGATGATATACCCAACGTAGATGCTGCTGCTGCCATAGCATTGGCAGAATTGGAGAGTGAGGTAATACCAGCGGCATAAGCTGTATTACCGGCGGATGCCAAACGGCTGCGTATGGCTAAAGCGCCATTTGGTGAGCCAGCAGCGAAAGCGTTTAATGTTGGGCGGGCGGATTGCTGGGTAGTAGTTAGATTGCTAAGATATTTTTGTTGTTGTTGTTGTTGTTGTTGCTCAACAGTTTCGTAATGCTCGGTGGAAATCATGTGTAGGGTGTAGGTGATCTCGCCGCTCTTGCCGGAGTCTTTGTCGTGCGCATGCGCGGCGTAGAGTGGTGTGTCGAGATCGACATTCTCGGGCACGGATATGCGTACCAAGTTCGTTTCGAATTCGGGCGCATTATCGTTGACGTCCTCGATGTCGATGTTGACCTGTTTGAGAGAGAGATGGAGGAGAATTTCATTTTATTATACTCATTGACTGGTGCCTTCCACTACTTCTACTCTAAATTTAAATATTCAAAAAATTATTGCATTTACGTTTCGATCTTTTTCAACTCAGCGTTAATCATAATCAAATTCTATTTTACTATTTAATAATTTTTCTACACTCACCTGAGTATGCCCATAAGCTGGTGGGTCGCCACTCATTGCTTGTATGTTAAGTAAAATTTGTGGTTTCGTTTCATGATCCAACGGATTTACAATGCGTATATTTCCCGTTACAGCGTCAATGTTGAAATATCCCTCGGGATCGCCGGAGTAAATGGAATATCGAACACCATTACGATTGGCTGGAAAAAAAATTGGGAATTAGACAAAAATATACCCAATATATATTGATTACACAATAAAATACCAATTATTCAATTGAATTATTAAAAAAGGATAAAACACTAAAAAAAAAATTGTATTATTTTTTTACTTTTAGTTCAATGGAAAAAATTATATTTAACTTTTTATTGCATAGTATTTTTGGTTAACGCGCAAACATTTAAATTTTAATTCAATTTAAATGCATTTAATTTAACTTAGTTTGTTTATTTAATTTTTATTCAATATAGTTTAGGTTAATTTTATTTTATATTTTTTAAATATCATTTTGTATTATTTAATTTATTTTTTTTTTCAAGTAAGAAGTTCGTTCGGTTTTTAGCTGAGAGATGGCGTTACTGTCCATAGTACTAGTGTTACGTGTCGCATCATCATTAAAGAGAAAATTCGCTATTTTAATTACAATTTTTCTTCGACCAAAGCGGAAACGCAGCCAAAGCGGCTGAAAAATCTAATTTAGTTTATGGGTCCGATACTGTAAACGAACGTGTAGCACAAAAATCGTTTGCTAGGTTCCGTTCCGGTAATTTCGATGTCATACATGTTATACACTATGTTATTAATTATTTTTCTATTTTAATTTTATTATATTTAAATTTAATTTTTTATTTTATTTTATTTTACTTTATTTTATTAATTTATTTTAGTTTGTTTTACTTGAATTTTTATATTTTAATAGTTTTAAATTTATTTTAATCATTTAACTTTTATATTTTAATGTGTTTTATTGTATTTTATTTTATTATAATTTTTTTAGTTAATATCACTTTATTTTTTATTTAATTTTATTTTATATTATTATTTTTATTTCAGGTGTTATTTTCTTTTATTTTATTTTTATTTTTATTTTTTTTTACTCTATTTTTTGTTATTTTATTTTCTTTTATTTTGTTTAATTTAATTTATTTTTATATAATTTTTTTTAACATAGTTTAATGAAATTTATTTTTATTTATTGCATTTTATTTTAATTATTTTATTTCTTATTATTTTATTGTTTCAATTTTTTTTTTGCATATGCTATATACATTCATATGTATATACACATGTAAGCATCTGAATTTTGTAGGATTTTGGAAACGTCAGTGAAATGTAAAGAGTATAGCTCCAACGTGGTGGAGTTTGTCAGTTTTGAATGCTTTGTTTGCTGACTGTTGACGATGATGATGACGTTGTTGATGTTGATGGGTGCAGATTTCTGTTGAAAACGCTGAAGTTTTTGAATATTTTTTCTTCAATGCGGCTTCATCAGAAGAGGAAAGGTTTTGTGGAGTAATACGTGAAAAAGAATGGCAAAATAACGAGCTGCAACACGAAAGAAAAAAATTGCGTGTGTGCAAATGTGCATTTATGTTTTTTTTTTTACATATGTTTGTATATGTATACATACACGTACACACGTGTATGTTGACTTGCAAATACATTTGATTTAAAACAAATACTCGGGAAGTCAACATTTTCAGAACTGCCAACTCAGCTTATTTAAATGAGCGAAGCAGATTTTTGTAAAATTTTGGTTATTTTCAAATGACTCTTTTATGTGCACATGAACGACGAAGTATGTGTGTTTGCATATACACACTGTGCCTTTAAATCATCACGACGTTTAGGGCAGGTAAAATACGCCAACAGACAAAAGCTAAATGAAGCGAAAAAGGACAGCATTGTTGAAGATGAACCGAAAATTGAGTAAAAAGGTACAAATTTTCGGAGCTGTCCATCACAAGCTCAGATATTTACTTCCAAATCAGTGAACTAATAAATAAGCAATGCGATGCCGAATTTTGCATACACAGTTTTTTATTAAAAAATTTTACATTTAAAATTGCATAAATACATTGTTGTGCTCGTTGCTTGTGATTTTAATAAATTTTTAATTTTTTTTTTTATTATAATTCCCTTTCCATTGTCATTCCTCGAGCATTTATGTTAAGCAAAACGGTTGAGATTATACACATTTTATTCCTCTAGAACTGAGTTAAATAAATAAATAAAAAATGCTTACCCGCATCACTGCTGGTGGCCATGACCGAGCCGACTACTGTGCCACCCGGCACATCCTCCTTCACATGGTAACTGTAACGCGGCTTCTCAAAGATTGGCGGTCGCTGTGTGGCGTCAATGATGCTCAAAAATACCATTGCATCCGCCGAACTACGCAAGCCGCCGCCGTCACTGGCGCTTATATTCAACACATGCATCGGTTGGGTGCGCACCGACAACATATTCGGCCGATTGATGAAAATCTCGCCATTCGAACGATCAATACGAAAAATGCCCGCTTCATTACCGCTCACAATGCGATAGGTCACAGCGCCGAAACGACCCGCATCCGCATCGGTGGCAACCACAGCGACAATGGGCGTGGTTGAGGCGCTGGCACTAGCCGTTTCCCTCAACGATACGTTGTATTCGCGTGGATAGAAAACGGGTCGATTATCATTGACATCGGTGAGTTGGATTTTTATACGCGCTATGGTGCTGAGTCCACCTGCAAGGGAGGAGACAACGAAAGATTTCGTTAGTAAATAATATATAAAGTAGTTTATTTTAATTTAAATTCTAAATTATGTTCAAGGAGATGTCTTATTTTAATTGTTTCTAATTCGCGAAATTTTAAAATTCAACTTAACATTTCTAAAGACTTAAGAAGGTCAGACTTAGATTAGAATTAATTAAAAGTTTTTATTTGACACCCGTAACATTAGCTTAGGTTGAGATGGTCGACTGCTACTCTCTCTTTTGAATCTCTGGTATGAAGAACATTGCTGTTCTCTTAGCAAACTGAGACAGACATTTCTTGCGCTCACAGATTATTCCCTGCACTGTCTCCTTACAAGTATAAAGCTAATTTGAGGGCATGGGACGTCAGCATGCATGGGACGCCGGATCGCATGGGACGCCGGAACACATGGGACAATGTCGCTTTAACAGCTCAACTAGCAGACTCTGACTTCTTTCTTGCTTGAAGACTTTTTGTTCCAAAGCTTATTAGCCTGACGGTATAAAAACGTGAATTTTGGATACTTTATTTCTCTAAATGGAACTAGAAGACCTGCGAGTATGGCTCCATGCTGTTCGTAGATCACTCTCTCCTCTTATTTCTCAATCCTCGATAATATTTTAATCACTTCTTTGCAAAGTGCAACCACTGCAATCATTTTTAATGCAAATAAGTCAGCTTGGAATCAGTTAGAATCATCTGTGAAAATGTGCAGAGCCTTGTCTGCAAATATTGGTTATTTTCAAAGTTTCACAAAGGTCAGGTGCAAGACTGTAGCGCTTTTATATTTTTACAAAAGGTAATGTCAACGTGTCGGCCGCGGTAGCCGAGTGATTGGCATTAAGTACTGCCATTCGGGAGGCCAGGGTTTGGGTCCAAGTCCGACCAACTTCCAAAATTATAGAATCTTAATTTATATAAAAAAATTAAACTAAATTTCCTAATTTCTGTCGCCCATCAGCAGGGAATATAAACCCCTCCGAGTGTATTTCTTACATCAATTAAAAAGGCTTCTCCTAAAAAACCATCAACCCTTGAAAGGCAGCTGAGTGTAAATTCTAGGTCCCTAAATTGGAGGAGGAGGTCGGCCAAAGCTTTAATATTTGAAGCACTTTAGAAATGGTTTAGTGTGTTATCATTAATTGAGGGTTTTGGTTTGGAATAATCAGGCATAGACTTGGTAATATGGCCTTTCAAAATCTAGACAATACATGAGCTAGACTATTTATGTAAAACCAGACAAGATAAAATCTCTACAAATCTTTATGCCGAGGGAACAATATAAGTTACAATTCGCGCGATTTAATGATAGCAGTAAGAAAATATGGAGTAGAGCTTTCTCATGAGCGACAAAGCTCATGCCCTATAACGTGCTCATTTTGATCTCTCGCGCTGTTATACGCCACAGAAACAAGGCGGGTGTTCAAGATCAATGAGTATTTTGAAGGGAAAACTTCGTAATATCTAGTCTCCCTTTCGTATTGGGGACGAAAATCATTGAAAAGAACCACGGACTATACGAGCTCTGCGACAATATCGTCATGGTTCTGCGCATTACAATACTCGTACAACGTTTGCGCTGACTGCAAAATATTGTACCTATGAATGGAGAATTTCCAGCAGAGAAGGTGTTTGTAGTGAAAGCCGATGGAAGACGATGAAGGGTACGAACACAAATCAATAGAAAGGCCAAACTGCGGCAGTTGCTCTGAAAATTGGCCATCAAATTATTTTCTTCGTCATCACAAAAAGTCCAATTTGTACAGACAGAACTTTAACTGGGTAGTGACGAGTGCTCTCGGAAGCGGGAATTAGAGCAGTAGAGCTATAACTACTACTTGTATGTCGAGGTCTATGAAAAATATTTGTTCTCTTAAGAACATTTGTTATTAAGAGGATTCATTCGACTGAAGGAACTGAGAGGCAAGAACTAGGGGTTTTTGTTAGTAAAAACTCGTTCCCTATGGGTGGCAAATAACGGGCAGCTCAGTATAAGGTGGTTAACTGTGGCTTTAACATTTGCGCTGCAAGTACAGTGTTTATAGGTTGAGCTGTTCATAAGATGCTTAACACATTTGGTGTGTCCTAGTCTGAGGCGCTCGTGTGTAGGATTTTTTTTAGACTTTTGTATGAAGTCCATTATTTATTAGTTGGGTCTTTCTGAAATTTATGTTTTTGTACCAATTATAGTTAAGGTTACATTCGAGGCATTGTTTCGCGAGGGGAGGTATGGCTTTTAACATCTAGAAGGCTTAAGTTTTCTGCACCGATAACTGGACCTTGGTTCGCTTGCATGGTGGCTTTTTCGCTGAAGTTGTTGCCAGTTATGTCCAGACACCCATATTAATAGGATTTTTAGTTAGTGCTGTGATATAAGAATTTTGATTTTGGTGATAAAGTAACTTTTGTTTTTTATGCCGGCTTTGGAATTATACACATAGCGAAGCAATTCTTTTTGTGTTTTACTATGTTTAAAGCGTCGGGTAAATTATTGCCATTTATTTTAGTTAAAAATATTGAAATAAAAAATATAATTTTTGAAGGAACATATTTTTGGATGCCTGACTTCATGGAGACGAAATTTCACTAACATCATTGGCCAAGCAGCGTTCTAATAATCTTTGCCTAAAAAATGCTTTCCGCTCTGATGAGGTATGTCTGGCATTTGTTAGACGGTTTTTGAATTTTTCGCGGAGCCTTGACAGTTTAAGAGCTATTTTTTTCCTTTTCAAGGATTACTTATCCATATATTAGAGCTTGTTCTCCATAGACCTAATTATTATCAAATTTAATTTATAAAAAAAAAAATATTCATAAGATATATAAGTTTTTTCCAAATCGGAATTTATTTTAAATTGCATTTTTATGCAGTTTTTTTAATTATTGCAACTATCTACTCTCATATACGTGTGTATTCATATATATTGGACTGCTATCGCTTACCTCGATCTGTTGCTATCACTGGAAATTCATACGAATTACGCTTCTCATAATCCAATTCGCTGGCAATGCATATCTCACCAGTGGCAGAGCGTACCTCGAATTCGGCGAGCTGTTTAATGCCATCGCCCAGCGTATAATTGACCATTGCATTAACACCACAATCTGGGTCGCTGGCTGACACCTGCAAGAGGCAAACAGATAAAATAATAAATAAATAAATATTTCAATAGAATTAATGTAGAAATCAATAGTAAATTTATTCAAAGTTCAGCAACTAATAGTAATTTGCAAACTGCTACAGAGCATAATTGGCAAATAGAAAATATTGGAATATATTTTATTATATTATGCCAGTCTGTGCGATTTTGTTTGAAATCGCAAGAAAATAAAAACAAAAAAAAAAAAATAAAAAAATCAATAGAATGAAAAAATACTATAACCGCGCTAGACAAACTTGCGCCAGTCACGCTGGCGTGTGTGGGATAATTAACTGTGAATTACATACACACATACTATACATAGTAGCATATTGAATTTACATACATACACGTACATATAGACATTGCTGTTGTGCTTGCCGCTGCTTGCCGCTGTTTGTGATAATTGAAAGTATTGATCTGTATGCAACTCACGTACTAACGTATCTATGTACTCGTATACGTGTATATATATTTATATTGCATACAAATAAGCATGCGCATGCGCCACTAAGTATTACTCATTTACATACATTTACACGTATATATACATATTTTTAAGTGCATTCATTTATTGCTGACTTTAGTGACCGTTCTTTACAATTTTCTTTGCTGCATATTTTATCATGTTTTGTTTTTGCTCTTGGTTTTATAAAATTGCTGCCTTTTGAATAATAGCGTAGCGCGAAGCGGATATGACATAAGTAAAATTAGTTGACTGATCATATCTATGCTAAGTGGTAGCGGTGAAGGCGATTGATTTAAATAATTATCTCAGTAATAAAGAATGTAGTAAATAATCCAATTTAAATATTACAAAATAAATGTGTTACTGGAATTTTTTCGTGGTTTAAAAATTCTTGCTTGCTTTATTTTTTATGGATTTAATGCAACGTAAAATAATTTATTTAATGATTTTTTCTTGAAAAAATACGCCAGCTTCATAAGTTCAAAGCTTTATTTGAAACATTTGAGTGAATTGATTAAGTTTCAATATTAATTAATTATTATAAAATATTTGTAAACTTTTTTTTTATTTACTCAGCTTAATAAATATATTAAAATTTATTTTTATATTTATTTTAATATATTTTAGGTTTATATTTATATATTTATATAAGTCATGTTATCATGTTATGACAAATTTACCAATTGTTGACAAGTGTTTGATGAGCTTTAATTTTAACATTTGCTTCACGATATTTCTGTTTCTTAGTAAAGGGTGTTGTTTAGACATTAGGGTTTCAAGAAGAAATAAAACGCATTCACTTAATGCTATGACCATGTGAATTAAGTAAACATTCCAGCCGAGTGGTCCACTTTTCGATCACTTTTTGCAGTCCACTTTTTTCACTAATATATTATACATATATTAGGTCGAGTAAAAAGGTGATTCGGTTTTTTTTTTATTGATTTTTCAAAATATGATAACTTTGTGTACATTTGTCCGATTTATTTCAAATAAGCGCCGTTTAGTTCGTAAACTGGTTGCCAATGCGATACTAACTTCATTATACCAAAACCTTCTTGGCCGTCAATCCGGTCTTGACCACCGTCTGGCCAGCTTCTTCGAGCTTTGACCACGACCGTTTGCACTCGATGTTGGAAAAAGAGGACCTTTATTTCTAAATTCAATTTAAAGCTAAGAATACTCAGCTCAGGAACCTTGCGTGATTACCATTAAAACTAGCGCAATTGACTCCATGTGCTATATCCTTATTTAAGGGATTCTCCTATAAAAACTGTGTACCAACGTTGTTGAACTAAGTTCTGCAGGTATTGATTGCTTTGCTGGATTGTGTATGGCATGGAGCGCATGTTGCGCCGCCTTGTTGGAACCAAATGCCATCCACTTCAACACCTACCAATTCGGACAAGAAAAAGACAATGTATGAGCAGAATCCTTTATGAATTACTCTTGGTTAAAGATTTCCTCTGCCCACAGTGATATCATGTGGATCATCGATACTACAAATGCCACAATATGGTATTTTAACATACCCATTAAGTGGTGAAATCTAGATAAACAAGAGCTATAAGCTAATCCATCCATCTACAGAATAACTGAGGACTTCAGTTACTTAGCTGCTGAGGTTAAAAATTATATTCGCTTATTTAATACCACCAGATGTTCGTACAGCTCATAGTTCCATAGAATGCCGATATCGTTTAGGCTTCTACGCCATATAGCAGGGCGGGAATGATAAGGAGCTTGTGGAGCTTGGTTTGGTGTGTAGAGAGAAGACTGTCAACTGCGACGAAATTCGATGAAAGTTTTTTTGATGTTGGATGATTTTTCATCTTGCCTTCGTTTGCTACCTCTTTCCATTCTTATCCAGTCCTTCCCGATCATGAGGGAGCTTCTGGTGTTCTCTAGCGTCAGCTTACACAGCAGTATAAGTTTTGCGGGCATACCAGGTTCAGCTATAGCGGCGTAGAGGCAACTTCTTTTTGTGCTTTTCAAAATAGCTTTAAAATCAACGAAGTGGTGGACACTTTACCCAACTCTTTTCAAGGGATTCTTCATAGACTTGACGCATAGTAAATATCTGGTCAACAGTTGATTTACTAGGTCTCAAGCCACACTGATAAGCTCCTATTTGAACATTCTTTTGATATTGGTTAGGGTATAGTCTGAATTTTTCCAAGGTTAGATGGCTGAGAGGACTGTAATGCATGAGCAGGGTTGAAAGCTCGAGTACTTTGAAGTTTGTTTCACAAAAACTTGGCAATGAAAGCAAGACAAGCTAATATGCTTAGTTTGGAACAAACGAGCTATTTGGGCCGAGTTATCAAGACATTTAAGCACCAACATTTCTAAGCCTCAAAGTAATTAAGAATTTAAATTCTTTTATCTTGTAATTTTCGCACACTGAGACTTAACGCACATCCAGAGAGAACACTCGCTCATAAACGTCTTCAATTCCCAACTACAAATCCCGCATAGCACCGTTAAACTCATTTGTCTTCAGCGGCAAAGCTCCAATTTTTCCATGTCGCTTCGTGCAAAATGAGAAGAAGAAGAAGAGTATTACTTTTCGCGCTTTTGTCGTCCACTTTATGTGATAACATACCGTTTTTTGGACATTTCTGTGCTGTTCTTATTTATTTATTTATTTTTTTTTTTTGTCAGCCTCGCTTATTCTGAGTCTTTGTCATAAATCATTGTAATGACTTTAGTGTGGCTGGTGCAGGGTAAAAACCGAAAACTGAAAACCAAAAACCAAAAACCAATTGCGAACGAAATGCAAACGCAGACGAATGGAGCGCGTGAAGAATCCGCCAAAAAATTGTTCAATGTGTGGCATTGTAATTTATTTCACATTTAATCCAATTAAGTTGCTGGCAATGCATTCTTGTGCTGCAAACTCGGCAGCGGCGGCGGCTCCCCAACAGTTTGGAGATTATTGTTGCAAGAGTACGCCTGCGGCTTAGGCTTATTTCGCATTTTGGCTACTTTCGTGTAAGAGAAAAGAATTTGTATTTGTCTGCTTCTTGAAATGATCAAAAGGAAATTTTCGGCAAATCGTTTAGAAGTTGAAGGAAAAATAATTGTGTGGAATTGCCATTTTTGTACTGAGGAAATGTGAAATCGCCGGCGACTTACATAAATGGAGAGATTAATCTTGAAAATATTTTTTTAAGAAATATTTGATATTATTTGTTTTCGTTTTTTTTTTGCCTTGTGTTTAGTTGATAATCTCAAAAGTAGAATTGAACAAAAAAAATAAAAAATAAATAAATACAATATAAAACTCATAAATTGAAACAAAAATTGTTTATTATATAAAAATACTTGAATTATTGTTTTAAGCTCAAAAGTTTTCCAAACAAACATTTTTTTCTGAAGTTTTGAATTTTTCGCCTCAAATTTGAATTAAATTACTACAAATTTCTCAAATTTGTTAATTATAAATTTATTTAACTTAATTATTTTTTTTTATTTTAAATGAATTAAATATATTTTTCTTCTTTATATTAATTTTTAAAAAAAGATTCTGCTTTGTTTTCTTACTAATTTGCCATAAGCCCCGTGTAACGCACACACATTTGTAGCTACTTATACATAATAATTTTTCTATAATTAAGATACCAATATACGCTGTACAGACAGACAAACACTATCAGCTGCTTACTTTACTTTACTCAACAGGCATATTTCATGCTCATCACCTTTTATTTAAATATAATCTGTTTCTGCCGGAAATCGCAAAAGCGTTACAAATTGCAATTACCAGAATCGCAGATCATTAACACATACGCAAGTATGCTTGGCAGCGTGCGTCAGCAGTGCGTAGCTGTTGCAAGTGTCCTTGGCACAGCAGTTGAACAACACACAAAGACGAAAAAGCAACAACTAGCATGTCTGGTATGTACAGTATTTTTCGCCATTTTCTGCATATCCCTGCATACTTTATATATATTTAAATTTATATGTGAATCTACATATGCTCAATTTAATACACATACATACATACGAGTATGTATGAACTTATCTGCTGTCGCTGTGCAGCCGCTTGAATGCACCACAATTGTAGCCCGCATGGCCTCAAGCATGTGGCTTGGGCTGTGTCTGAACTGGTGGAACTGGCGCTGTGCACGCCGCTGAATGCCGCGCTGGAGATATGAATGGTTCTTATGCTGCAAGCCACGTCAACTCTTATCAAAAACGTTCGCTTGATAAGCTGTACTTGAAGCGGTGGGATGGCGGGTAATATGTAAGAGAATAAGAGCAGCGGATAAGAGTTACTGAGAGACTTTGTTGCAATTTAATTTTAGTTCCATGAGATTAATTGTGGACAAAGTAAGGAGGTCGTCCACCGGCGTGATGTTCCATTATGGCAGCGGAAGACCTCACTCCTTTTTAATAAAAACTGATCCAATGCGAACTGTGTTTCGTCGGAAACAGTCGCCCCAGCAACCCTATAGCACAGGGGAAGCCAAAATCTGTCTTTGTTGAAATGAATTACTGTTATCATATAGT